TGATTCTAAATTTCTACATAATCCAAAGTTTGTCCCATTGGCACACGATTTTCTACAATGTACAGAAGTTAGTATGTTTCGACTTATTCATGTTAATTGTACACCGAATAAGCAATGGGTTTCTGATTGAGATTAAATTTTAAACAGTGCAGCATACCGAATAGAGTGTGTCAAGTTTGCTTTAAAATGCGACGTCTATTAGGATTCATCTCTTGAATATACCCAAAATGGTGAAGGGTATCATATAGTCGGCCCAGTCCGACTTTACTATTTTCCTTACTTATTTTGGCAAAAATATGGGATATCTGCCCATAGTCTATCGGTCCAATTTTTATGATAGCTTCCATATAAAGGTACTCCCCATTATTCGGTATTTTGGGTGAGTTTTAGCACGTTTCGTAACCGAATTTCCTCTAATTTCATTCTCATTCGGTGTCAAATATTTCTATTACAAATTTACTATGGTATAACCCAGTATTTATGAAGGTCCCAAATGTTGGAAGATATATTTTTGGCAGAAATTTGCCAATATAGTCCCATGGTTTGATATATACCCAATATAAGAGCCACGCCTCAGTCTAGGTATTTATACCCTGCACAACTATGTTGTCAGGGTATTATAGCTTTGTGTAGCCCCAAAAGTTTGTAACGCCGCGAAATATTGGTTGATATATAGTATACCGATCGTCATATCTCGACTAGCTGAGTCGATCTAGACATGTGTGTCCGTCCGTCTGTCCATTATAATTTGTAAACACGCTACAGGCCACAGTTATGGACCAATCTTCTAGAAATTTTGCATCTAGGATGGATTATGGCCAATGAAGATCCCTATTGTTTTTGGAAAAGATCGGTTAATATTTAGGGGATGAAATGGACCATAAATTTAATTTTTGTCGGTTTTGCGGTCGCTCCACCAGCCGCAATTATGGTCCAAACACCGGAATTTTTGCATGGAGAAGGGGATCGGGCCATATAATAAGCATGCTCGTTTTGATAAAGATCGGTCAATATTTAGCGGGTCAAATGGTCATTTGTGTGAAAAATGACAAAATTTGTATTCTATAGCATATATATTTACATTTTGAATAACAAAGACCCGAGAAGTTTATAGCATATCCAAGAGGAGTGGTTGACCTTTAAATTGGTGCTAATTATATGGTCGTATATACTCAGATGTGGGAGTTACACTTAAATATTTACAGGTGCTTACGTACTGAGATATTATTTAGTAACCCATTACCACACTAGAAGGCGGAAATATAGCGCTGATCGCTTTGAAATGTTCAATGAGGATCCACGTATGGTCAGGGATATCGGCTATAATTTTTGGTGATGATCAGATAAAAATTTTGGGATGAAATGGACCGAAAACTTAATTTTTTATGTTTTTTCGAAACGATCTATAGGCCACAATTATAATCCGAACATCACAACACAATCCACGATGAAGGGAATCTGGACAAGTAATTAAAAGGCTGTACTCAATATTGGGAATATTCGGAAAATATGTCAGTGTAAGAAGAGGTGCTGTCGATTTTTATCCGGCAAGAGGGTGCAACTATCACGAAATATTGCCCACGCTCAGAATAAACTTCGGTAGAAAGTTAGAGTTCCGTGGTAGTTGTGTAGGGTATCGTATGGTCGGCCCCGTCCGACTATACCGCTCCGCTCACTGGTTTTTAGATATGGATCTAGGCGCATTTTCCAATGCGCATTTTCGGTATGTCAAGTCACCTCTACACCGTGCAATTGGCTGATTTTATTCGTTTTCTATGGACTCTTAAACGACCAGCTCGGTACTGCAAATGTTTGCAATAAACTTGTTATTGCCGTTAAATACGATCAGGCCGAACCTTTTTAACGGAATTATCTAAAATATATCGAGAGGCCTCTGTCGAAGTAAATTTCTCCCTGGGTGTTTTCTCTACTCTCTGAAGACGAAATACGAAACTGCAGGCTCGGTTTGGAAAATAGGACAAGGAGCTTTATTTTATTTTCCTATTCGAGCCTGTAGTATCGTATTTCGTCTTCAGAGAGAAGAAAAAACACTCAGATAATTTATTCATATCGAATGTTACCAAATAGACCTACAGTTCACCCTTTAGAAAATCTCTTCAGATTTAGGTAAAAATCTAATACAGATTTTCGTCCAATTTGATGTAAATGGTGACCAAAGTCGCAAGGTTTGTCCGATTGAGAAACAATTTTGCACAGTGTACCAGATTAAGTATAGAATGACGTTTGTTATGTTGTGTTGAAATTGCTGGAAATGGCGAATCAAAAAACCCCAACGTAACATGCTGAATAGCTCGCAGTACTCGTTTTCTTCGATCCAGATTTACATATAGCTTTCAAACCTAATTTTATCCGATATTATAAAAATGATACTCCAGACATGAAATGTTGCATTGATTGTAGAATGTCATGTGTTAAGATTGGTTGTAGTCGGCTCATTTCATGATAGTGGTCCATCAAATATGTAATGCCTGTCTGTATGATAGTATGCATAATTCTGTAGGTTATTATAACGATCTAAGGAAAATATCTTATATATTCCCAAAATGGTGTAGGATATCATACTCGTATAGTAGGTCCCGTCCGGCAATTGAATTTGCCTTTCTTAATACAAACTCAAGTTTATTATAATTTATTTAAGTTTGCTGAAGCTATACTCAAATACTAATTTACTAACATACCAACAAACTGAAATGCAAATATTTTCCCATTGGCTTATTGAATTTATATCTATATTCTTTAGGTCTTATTTATGAAACCGATAATCCCGATATGGCGAAAATCTTTCAACTGGCCATTAGCAAAGCCAATGAAGAAAACGAAGATATCCGCCTACATGCTGTGACCATTGAAATAGATGCGGGCGATGCTTTTGGGACATCGAAAAAACTTTGCAAAATCTTACGGGTGAGTAAACATTTCAATGTTCACAAAGTTCGGCTAACATTTCCGTGTAGTCATGGTCATGGCAATGTGACCATCAAAGGAAGCCAAAAACTGGCCAACAAATTCAAAAGTTTATTAGTAAACTTATTTTTTTTCCTTCTTCTATTTTATCTTCGTTTAGCAAAATCTAGTGGCGGTTTTTGGTCCAACAACAGATATGGCTGCCAAGCATGCCATGAGTATTTGTGATGCCAAAGAGTTGCCATTTGTGGATTCACGTTGGGATTTCGGTGCTCAATTGTCGACAATTAATTTACATCCACATCCATCACAGCTGGCCAAGGCCTTGAAAGATGTGGTTACAACCTTTGGCTGGGAAACATTTACCATTATCTATGAATCAGGTTCGGAAGAAGAAGAAAAAAATAACACGAACACAACCAAGGTCAATTTGTTTACCAAACTAAACCATTTATGGATTTATTTTTATTTTTGTGTTTAAAGGAGAATATCTGATGTTTGTTAAGGAGCTACTTGAACTATATGGCACCAGTGGCCCCACAATTGTTGTACGCCGCTATGAACTTGACCTCAATGGTAATTATCGTAATGTTTTGCGGCGCATAAAAAACTCTGGTGAAAGTTCATTTGTGGTGGTGGGCTCTTTGAATACCTTGCCTGAATTATTAAAACAGGTGAATGGAAAAAGTTTTAACATTTTATTCATTGTTGTTTGAAGTTTATGTTAATAATATATTTCAAAATTTTGTTTTTCTTTTTCTTGTTGCTTTTGATTTTAATTGCCGCCAGGCCCAACAAGTTGGTATTATGACTGGAGCGTATCGTTACATAATTGGTAATCTGGATTTTCAAACAATCGATTTGGAACCATATCAGCATGGTGATACAAATATTACAGCATTTCGGGTGATCTCACCCGAATCGGAAAATGTTGCAGAGGTAGCCAAAATGTTATATGAATCTGAAGAGCCGTTTCAAAATGGTATGTAGTAGCATGCAATATGAACTTAAACACGAGACTGGTGCGCACGATAACTCTTGAAATGAATAATCGATTTCATCCAAACTTTGCACATCTTAATATTTCTTCCAAACTTAGTTCAAGTTCGAAAATGGGGAATATCGGTACACTCCTTCTGGTAACTCCCACACAAAATGGTCAATATTTTGCAAAAAATTAATTTTGTAATATCATGCGAACGGACTATTTGAAACAAACTTTGTACAACCTTTTATCTTAACCTATCCTAGATCAAATAGGAAGATGGGGCCCATTGGTTCACTCTTTCTGGTACCTCCCCCACAAAGGTTCAAAATTTTCCATATTTTTTAATTCCAATCCGATTTGAACAAAACTTTGAACGTCCTATTATCTTTACCAAGACTAGATTAAGTTTGATGATGGGACCCATTGGTCCACTCCATCAATTACATCCTCCACAAATGGTCAATATGTTCTATATTTATAAATCCAATATCAGGCAAACTTCTTATCTTTACGAAGCCTAGATTAAGCCCGAAGTTGGGACCCGTCTGTCCTCTCCTCTGGTGCACCCCCAAGAAGGGTCAATATTATATAATCTTGTAAATTTGAATAACCGAATTGATCACCATTACATCTGAAACATCTTTGATAAAAACATATACCTTATATAAAACGAATAATAAAACCTGTGTGTAAATCCGAATACCTTCTCCGCAAACCATAGGATGAGGGTATATACCTGTCTACAATGCCGACTGACACTTTTTTACTTGTTTTTAACAATCCAATGTTTCTGAAATAACGCGATGTGCAAGTGCCTTTGATTATTTTCCCCTTACAACCATTGTTGCCATTTTACTCCGATGGATGTATGGATTACATCTAAAAATTCTCCCCAGTATTCGATACTATTGGGGATAGGTTATCATCTCCTCGCCTCCCTCACTCTTTTTGCTAGGTATTTGTCCGTCACGGCTTTTTTGGGTATCCTTCTCTCCAATTCTCACGAAGAAGATGGACTCTCGTGACAGTCTCCATTGACTTAAGATGTGGCTTCTCTTACCATTAGCTTTCTCTTACGGTTTTTTGCCGTTCGTCCGCTCTTCCTAACCCTCTTCGCCACTTCCAAAAAATGTATATAAAATGAGACTAATCGGTTCGATCTTGTTCCTTCGGTTCATTCTGGTCAGTTTTCGCATTTGTGCCACGGATAACTGCTTCTTTCTTGTTGTGAACTTGACAAAGTCCTTGCTCACTTCATCAACCATTTTATCAGCCCCCTCGCTCCTTCGGCATTCTAGGACGGCATTCCTGTTTCCGAATGTTGGGCTGCTCTTTAACCTTAAGCCTATGGTTTGCGGAGGTCGTCGGAATTACACGCATGTTTTATTATTCGCTTTATGAAAAAGATTTAATATTTAATGTTGATCCAATTCAATTTACAAGTTCGAACCTTATAGGCTTGGACATTCATTTCGTCAAATATTGTTTTATATAAATTCGAAATTTTGATCTTTTGTGATCCTAAGGGAGTAGCATAAGGGAGTGAGATACCTAAGGGAGTATTCGGACTTGGTCTAGACTTGGTTAAAATAATACGTTGTACAATGTTTGACTGAAATTATACATTTCATTCCCCTGATATTGGATTTTTAAATATTAAAATTATTGACCATTTGTGGGGGAGGTTCTACAAGGTGGAGAACAATGGACTTGATCGATGCATGGTAAAGACAAATAGTTTGGTTTAAATCGGATAAAATTATTATAAAATTAATCTTTTCCACAATTTTTACAATCTTGTTTGGGAGGTACCAGAAGGATTACTTCCATCCCCATCTTCGCATTTGAACTAAATTTGGAATAAATATTACAATGTGCAAAGTTTGAATGAAATCGGTTACTCCCTTCGAGAGTTATAGTGCGCACCAGCCGGCCAGATAGACTGACGGACATTCATAATCGACTCCAAATATCCTAAAACGGATTTGGCAAAAAAAAAAAAACATGGAGTTTAAAACCAATAATTCGACGAGGCACATTTTTGTCCTATAAGTAAGATATGTTTTCCGAATACGAATACAAATTGTGGCTACCAGAAAAAGTGAACCTATATTTATAATTATACCCTTCACCACATTGTGGTACAGGGTATTATGTTTTTGTGCATATGTTTGTAACAGGCAAAAGGAAACGAGATAGACACATGGTTCCTTTTGAGAATATGCATAGAATCACTTTTTAAGTCGATTTATGCATGCCCGTCCGTCTGTCCGTTCGTCCATGTACTTTTGTGAACAAAGGTCGCATTCATGATTCGATTTGGATGACATTTGGCATAGGTCACTTATTTGGCCCAGGGACGAACCCTATTGAAATTGGGAAAATCGGTTCAGATTTAGATATAGCTCCCATATATATTATCGTCCGATTAAAGGTAAATGGTGCACCAAAGACCCTATTTACCTTTCGATTTGCACGAAATTTGGCAACGCGTAATGAATTAGGTCTAGAATGATGTGTGTTAAGTTTCGTGAAAATCGGTTCGGATTTAGATTAGCTCCCATATAGATTTTCGTCCGATTTAAGGTAAATGGTGTACCAAAGTCCCTTAATATCTTTCGGTTTGCACGAAATTTGGCTCAGCGTAATGAATTAGGTCTAGAATGATGTGTGTTAAGTTTCCTGAAATCGGACCAAATGAAAGATTTAGTATCGGTTGCAGAATGACATGTTTATGGATCCAATTTCATTTCACTGGTCCTTTAAAAATGCTACGTCTGTTAGGATTCATCTGTTGAATATACCCAAAGTGGTGAAGGGTATCATATAGTCGGCTACTTTCCTTACTGGACTAATTGGACTACTTTCCTTACTGGTTTTTATTGGAGAAATTTATTACCCAATAAGGAGCCAATTTTATTGAAAAATTTGTGCAAAATCCTCACGATCCACATATTTTGGAGGTAACGTTATGGGAGCAACCCAAAAAAAGTGGACCATTATTATTAATTTTTAGTGTTGAGATTTGGTATCCAATGAGAACACAAAGTGCGAAATTACAACGAATTCCTTTGAAAATCGCATTTAAAACCCACAAGAATACCGAAACTTTTGGAGGTACCTTTATATGAGGGATATCTGGGCAATAGATTGGAGGAAATCGGTTCGTATTTATATATAGCTGTCATATACATTCAGTCTTCGAATTTATTTTTTTGTTTTAAACCGTATACCAACTTCATTTAAGGTGACAAACTTCGATATTTGATTTCTTCTATTATTAAAAAAAATCGTTAACATATTTTACTCCACATTATTTTCCAGTAAATGTAATGACTATACCCAAAAATTTCAACATATACAATAAAAAATTTATTAGCGAATAAAGTGTGTCCTTGCCCTTGCAAGCCCAGACATCAAAGCATTTTCCTTTTCCTATTAAAGTCATAGTCGTTAACTTTCATCGGGTCACAAACACTCACACATAGACCAAAGGCATTAATTTTAATGCTGATTTTCGAAACACAATTTATAAGTCAATATTGTCGAACATTTTCACTCAATTTTCTTTATTTTCTTCCTTTTTTTATTCAATTTTATTACTTCCACACTTGCAACACGCACCAAAAACTGACACGCACACGAGAATAGTGTCATGTCCTTTGACTGTTAACATGGCTTTGGTTTATGACGGTGTCCAGTTGCTGGCCGAGACATTCAAGCATGTTCAGTTTCGTCCCGAAGCTTTAAATTGTAACGATGACAGTTCATGGGATAAAGGATATACGTTAGTCAATTATATGAAATCGGTAAGGACAGACAGAGAGAGAAAGCATAACATATGAGGGATGCTAGCATGTCCTTCATTTTTGTCGATAAAACATTTTTCATACAAAATTCTTTTCCCCTTTTTTTGTTTTATCTTTCATTTTTTAAAGTTAACCATTGAAGGTCTCAGTGGAGAAATAAAATTCGATTATGAAGGTCTGAGAAGTGATTTCACATTGGAGCTGATAGAACTAAGTGTATCGGGTGTACAGAAGATTGGCTCATGGCGGCCTGACGAAGGTGTAACCATTGATCGCCCACCACCCACTGTTAGCGGTGAACCGGATATGCGTTCCTTGGTTAATAAAAGTTTTGTTGTTATTACGGCCATTGTAAGTAGTGGTAAAGTAAAAATTACAATTTTATTTTGGAATTATTGTGTGTGTAGAGTGAACCTTATGGCATGCTGAAGGATGTACCCCACAAACTGGAAGGTAATGATCAATTTGAAGGTTTTGGCATTGAACTCATAGAAGAATTGGGCAAGAAATTGGGATTCTCCTACACTTTTCGTCTGCAAGAGGACAACAAATATGGCAGTTTGGATGCTAAGACTGGCAAATGGAATGGCATGATTTTAGAAATAATGGAGGGGGTAAGTAAATGGGAATATTATTTAAAGTTATTTTTGATGATATTACTAACTGCGTGTAAGTGGACTATCTTTGAAGTCCACTTCAACTTTGAAGTTGAAGAAACCCCCATAAAGTATCTATATTCATGATCGGAATAAATTCCATGACTTTTTATTTAGCCCATATCCATGCATTTTTCTGTTGTTTGAAATGACTATAGATCACGGATGAAGCTTTGCACATAAACTACTACTCCTAGGATGTTAGATGTTGAAGCTAAAATAAATCGATCCACTTGTTGGTATTTTAGGCTCTCATCTGGTATCCACGTTCCTACTAAATATTATCAGCATCGGTCAAAATTGTGTAATTTTCAAATCGAAACACGTATTTATCAATATCTGTACTCAATTCCACCAATATTTGAACGGCCAATATTGCGGATTCTTGGTTAATGAATGATATCAAAGTAGAAAAACTAAATTTCTTTAATTTGCCACAGGCCGACATTTACTTACATACTTACTTAGCTGGCTTGTGTCAGAACTTTCGTTCCATAAACCGAGCTTAGAGAAGTTTTCCAGGCTCGTCGGTCTTTTGCGCAGTTTTATTTTCAATTTGAAAGACCATTTTCGGCGATGTTGTCTTCGACTTGATCTTTCCAACGTATTCTTGGCCTTCCCCTTCTGCGGGAACCATCAGCTGGTTCGCTTTTATATGCCTTCTCACCGCTTTTATATATATTCACCGTCAACGCAGATCGGACCATAGATCTTTCGGAGAATTTTTCTCTCAAACACTCCAAGAGCTGCCTCATCTGCTTGTGCAAGTACCCATGCTTCAGACCCATATAACAGCACGGGTAGTATCGGCGTCTTGTAGAGTGTGAGTTTGGTCTTGCGGGAGGTGGCCTTGCTTTTGAGTTGCTTGCTCAGACCATAGTATCATCTGTTGGCCATCATTATCCTTGTCCGAATTTCAAAACTGATGTCATTCGTTTTGTTTATGACGGTACCAAGGTATATAAAATCTTTGACTACCTCGAAGCTGTAGTTCTCAAGTTCCACAGTTGGTCCGGGTCTACTGGACGTCTTGCGCGTTGATATCATCAGGTTTGTCGTCTCGCCGTTTACTGCCAGACTCACTTTGGCAAACTCCTCCCCAATTTGTTCAAAGGTGGCTGTTACCGCTCTCAGTGTTCGACCCATTATGTCAATATCATCGGCGTAGGCGAGTAAAATGTGTTGCTTGGTGTGCAGAGTGCCATTTCTGTTCACTTTTGCCTCTCGTATGACCTTTTCCAGCAAGATGTTAAAAAGGTCACACGACAAACTGTCACCTTGTCCGAATTCTCGTTCGGTATTAAAGGGCTCCGAGAGGTCCTTTACGACTTTAACTACTGATCTTGTCCCAGTTAAAGTATCCTGCATAGCCGAATTAGTTTTGCAGGAATGCCAAACGCAGACATGGCTTTAAACACCTCTGAACGAATAAGGCTGACGAATGCGGCTTTATAGTCGACAAATAGGTGGAATGTGTCGATGTGTTTTTCATGGGGTTTTCCCAAGATTTGGCGCAGGGTAAAAATCTGGTGAATGGTTGATTTGCCAGGTCTGAAGCCGCATTGGTATGGTCCAATAATGTCATTGACCATTGGTTTCAGTCGTTCACACAGTACGCTGGATAGCACTTTATATGCGATGGGAAGGAGACTTACTCCTCTATAGTTGGCACATATCGTCTTATCTCCTTTTTTGTGCACGGGACACAGGATGCTGAGGTTCCAATCATTGGGCATGCATTCTTCTAGCCAAATTGTACTAATCAGCTGGTGCATGCACCTTACCAGCATCTGACCCCCAGTCTTGAATAGTTCGGCTTGTAAACCATCGGCACCTGCTGCTTTATTATTCTTCAGCCGATAGATTGCTATTCTGACTTCATCTTGGCTAGGTGGTATACACTCTATACCATCATCTATTATTGGTTCTGGGGTATCCACTTCACTGCTACTATTTGGTACCAGAAGTTTTTCAAGATGCTCCTTCCAGATCCTCAACACGCTGTCTGTATCTGTCACCAGATTTCCTTATTTTTCTCTCAAGGAGGGTGTGCCTGAACCAAAGCCTTCGGTTTGGTGTTTTACCCGTTGGTTGAATTTTCGGACTTAATTCTGACTCCTGTACATCTCGATTTGGTCATGCTCACGCTTTTCTTGCTCTTTCTTATTTTTTCTGAAAATACGTTTCTCTTCTCTCCTTTTCTTCTGATAGTTCTCCATCGCATTACGTGTTGCTACTGTCTGCAGGGTTGCCCTATACCTATTCATATTACGACACTCCTGATCGTTACACAGATTTCTTGATGGTGGTCTTTAGTACCCAAGTGTTGCTTTTGCTGCAGTTTGTAGAGAGTGGACAATTTTCTGCCACTGTGCTTCTATATTATTATCATGACCAGGAGTGCTTTCGTCAAGCAGTTGGGTAAGTTGAGCGGAGTAGGCTTCTGTTATATGTTGTGTTACAGCTTTTCGACGTCAAATTTCCGTGTTACATTAGATCGCACCTTTGCTGCTACATTAATACGGATGCGTACCTTGGCTGCCACAAGGTAATGGTCCGAATCGATGTTCGCTCCCCGGATCGATCGGACGTCTAAAACACTGGATAAATGCCTTCCGTCTATCACAACATGATCGATTTGATTTCTCGTTGTTCGATCGGGAGAAATCCAAGTGACCTTGTGTATATCGAGATGCTTGAATCTGGTTCTGCTAACTACCATGTAACTACCATGCCGTTGTCTGATGTTTCTTCATGGAGGCTGAATTTTCCGACAGTGGGCCCAACGATATTTTCCCTTCCGATTTTTACAGCAGAATTTTAATGTCATAGCCAGGGCCACGATCATATGCTGTTTCTAGGCGCTCGTAAAATATATCTTTGGTCTGTTCATCTTTATCTTCGGTCGGATCATGGGCGCAAATGAGACTGATGTAGAAGAACTTCGCTTTTATACGGATTATAGCGATTCGCTCATCTATTGGAGTGAATCTGGAGACGAGGTATTTTATTCTCCTGTTAACCAATAATCCGCAGCCAAATTCATGTCTCGTTTCAAGGCAGCTATAATACAGGGCTTAATCATCTGATTTACTTACGCCAGTCCCTTTCCATCACATTTCCTGTAAGGCAATAATATCGGCTTTGTACTTCTTGAGTGCATCCGCCAAAGAGAACACTGCGCCTGTTCTGTACAACGTGTGCACATTCCAGATCGTTGTCCTTTATACGTTTGCGGGGGTTGTCAACATTAGGGGGGTTTGTTTTCCTTTTTCTTTGCTTTTTCATAGTAGGTTGGGTTTTCTGAGAGTAGACAACTAACCCGACGGCTCAACCCATTTTTTTATAGTTCTTATGGGTGAACTGGCGGCACATATTACCTCACTATTTCATCGGGTGATGAAAATAACTCCCCAGGTGGCACCGCGGGGAGGTCAGTGTCCACAATTGAGTTGAAAGGGTGACCAAGATAAGCCTGGACTTCGCCACGTTAAAGCCAATCAGAGCCGTTGCCTCTTATAACCATCCCTTACGCCACCCAACCATTTAAAATGACATAATAGGTCCAGGTACAATATTTATTTGTCGAGGTCGGACACTTTAAATTATAGTAGACCGCTTACTGGGTATTTTCGTTGCACCGATTTATATGTGTGTGCCGCAGATATTTCCATTTCTCTTATGTAGAACCACTTCGTTTTTAGAAGTAAACAGATCAGGATATATGGTATATGTGACCTTATTAACAAGTAAAGACACTCAGGTTGAACCAGAATCTTGAAAATACCGAAAATTGCGCGCTATCGTTTGACAACGATTTCTGAAACCCTCGAAATAATGTATAGTGGAGTTACGGTTATATGGGGGCTATACCAATACGACTATAAAAGTGCCAATCGGTGTTGCCGACAGATATATACCCTCAGCTTATGGTTTGAGGAGGTCTTCGGAATTACAAACAGGTTTTATATTTAAGGTATATATTTTCATCAAAGATGTTTTGGATTTAATATTGATAAAATCGGTTATTCAATTCGCTTCAAATTACACTTACAAGTTTATAACATAGAAAATGTTGACTCTTTGTGGGGGAAGTACCAGAAGGAGTGGAACAATTAGTACCATATTCGGATTTGCTCTAGGCTTGGTAAAAATAGTAGGTTGTACAATGGTTGGATTTATAAATATTGAAATTTTTGACCATTCGTGAGCAGGTACCAGAAGGAGTGGACCAATGGGTCCCATTTTCGGAATTAATCTAGGCTTCGTAAAGATATTGGTTGTGCAAAGCTTGGTTCAAATCGGATATTGGATTTATAAATATTGAAAATGTTGACCCTTTGAGGGGGAGGTACTAGAGGCAGTGGACCAATGGTTCCATTTTCGGACTTGATGTAGACTAGGTAAAGATAGTAGATTGTACAAAGTTTAGTTAAAATCGGATAGTCCGTTCACATGATATTATAAAATTCATTTTTAGCACAATTTTGTGGGGGAGGTACCAGAAGAAGTGGACCGATATTTCCCATCTTCAAAGTTAAACTAAATTGGAAGAAATATTACGATGTGGAAATTTTGGATGAAATCAGTTACTTCGTTTGACCGTTATCGTGCGCACCAGTCGGCCAGACAGACGGACGGACGGACATTAGTAAACCGGTTCCAAATTTTCTGAAACGAATTTGGTCCAAAGAAACAAGGGGTCTAAAACAAATATTTCGATGAGCATATTTTGGCCGTATCAAAGTGTATATACCGTCGTTAGCCATAATTCTAAGGGTATAAATATAAAGATACATTAGATAACTTGTCCATACATTTCAAAATTCCGAAATTTTTAGGTATCGTTATATTGAGGGTGATTTTTGATAGGGAGATTTGATACTCAAAAAGAACCAAAAATACGAAATTACAGCCAAGTCAGAGGAAAAAATACCAAATCTTGGGATGTTCCCATATCGGTACCCAATACCAAAATATGGACCGATATATCCCGTTTGCAATGCTTAACATCCTAAAGTACTAACAATGTCTGTGCACAATTTTAGGTTCTATCAAAATTGACATAGAATCGTGTTCCGATTAAGAATATATAAGGGGAAGGGACACCTATAACATTTTTTTGCTTTCAAGTTTCATAAAAATTTGAAATATGTTGTTACTGTTTTAATGGACGAAGTCATTATGTTCTATACTGCCCCTCCAGGTGGGCTGATTTCATGTAAATAAGTTTTCAAATCCCGATTGGCTCGAAATTGAGTTTGCTTTAAACCGGTCCAAAGTGGAATATAACCTGCAATATAATTATGTCAATGTTCATAGAAACTGCGAATTTAATTCCAATGTCTGCTCAGTTGACTTGAGCAAAAAAGCTAAGTGTGGTTAATAGTGTGTTCCGACACTTTATAATCTTATTGTAAACCATAAATGTTACCGCCACTGGTGATCATTAAGCCCCAAGTCGCCCACTTATTAATATTAATGGTCTGTATTCACCTGTATAAGAAATATCGATAACATACATCGATTATTGATAATTATCATATACTCCTTTTTATACATTGTTCTTCTTGTACTAAAAAATGAAGTTAGAAGCAAGGAGTTTAATGCGTAAGAAACTCATCTTTCTTTTGCAATAGTTGGTCAAACAGTTAACACACTGATTAAATTAGATGGTTTGAAACCAAAAAGTATGTATAAAATATAACTTTATATATTATAATCCCTAACGTTATGAATTTATTTAGGAATTAAAACATATGGTTGTGCCACACAGTGGAAATAAAGAAATACATGCATTTCAATAAAACTAACCCGTGTTGCTGATTCATTCAAATCATCTGGGCCATCTATCGTGAACAAATTTTTAATTCTTTTTGATAACAAAAAAGGCACTACATTGTCAAAGGCAGTACATTTTCAAGAGTGGACTCGGGATTGGAGAAACCGTCTGTTATCCCCTCAACCAATCGGATATAACCTCGACCTTGGTCACACGTAAGTATTATAATGGATTCTTCCACACATCAGGTCGAACAACATAACCTCAATGTCACCAACGACGCCTTGCCACAAATATGTGATCTCTGCCACGAGAGTATCAACGATAGAGTCGTAAGTTGCAGTAGCTGTAAAATGCCGTACCATGAATCATGCAGTCGAGTTTCATATCCCGACGAAAAATTCACGTGTTCTGCATGTACTCAAAATGCTACCAAATATTGTCGGTCTGCAGGCAGCACGCAGTCGTCGTGGGACTCAAAAGACACTATAAGCAGCAAACGTGCGCTTGAGTTAAAACGTTTACACGAAGAGAGAGAACTCGCTAAAAAACGCGATCAAGATTATCTGTCTAAGAAGTATCAAATCCTGCAGGAAATGATGGACAATGGAGAATCACCCTCGTCAGCGTTAAAAGGGCAGGTAACTCATGATGTAACGGCAACTCAAGAAAGACCTACAATGGACACTGAAGTCGAACAAATGAATAACCCAACCGCAAAAAGCCCGTCGTCATGTGCTCCAATAATGTCATATACAGCACCTCTTATGACAACAACACAATCTTCATTACTTCCAAACAATTTTTACGATACGAACACATTTAATGCTACTCGTTTTGTAGAACCGATTTTTAACCTTCATTCTACAAGTTACCAAAACCCGCATCATAGGTCGACCAGCAGTAGAACCCACCAACAATCGTTCATAAACTCTGCACCAACCGATAACCCTCAAACGGCGAACTTCACAGAGCAAATTTCAAGAACACAGCGAAAGCTCACAGCAGATCAGCTACACTCTCGTCAAACTGTACCTAAGGAGTTACCTCTTTTCTCGGGCTCTCCAGATGAATGGCCTCTCTTTAGTTCCACCTATGACTGGTCTACACAAGTCTGCGGATTGACCGATGCAGAGAACCTAATAAGATTGCAGCGAGCTCTTCGAGGCGAGGCATTGGAGTCTGTGAAGCGGATACTCATCCACCCCTCGTGTGTGCCACATGCAATTTCCATATTGAGGGTTTTATATGGCCAGCCAGAGAAAATATTATTTTCTCTAAAAAATAAAATCAAAGCACTTCCACCAAAAATGGACACAATCACAAATTTCGCAGTTCAAATAAAGGGTTTACAATCCACAATAGAAGCTTGCGGTTTGGTCGACGAGTTGAATAATTCATCTCTACTTCAGGAGTTAGTTGCTAAGCTTCCATCTTATTTTCAGATAAATTGGGGCTCCCATAAATTAACGTTGCAACAAAACGGAAAGAACGCGAATTTGCTTGAATTTTCAGCATGGATATTTGATATTGGATTATCAGCGAGTACCGTAAATATAGAGAGCTCAATTACTCCCTCCTCCTCTTCCTCCATTCGTAAACAAAAGAATTCATTTGTGCACACCCATGTGGAGACAAAACTAAAGAAATGTTTAATTTGTGAAGGAGATTGTGTCAACACAGTAAATTGTCAGAAATTCATAAATGCTGAGCGAAGAGAGAGGTGGGATATTGTAAAAAAACTACAGTTGTGTAAGCAGTGTTTAAAAAGACATTCTGGTGTTTGCTTCAACAAAAACAAATTTTGCAATTTTGATGGTTGTCAAATTAAACACCATTACCTACTGCATGGTGATAAAAGAAACAACAATAAACTACAGCACAACACTCAGAGTAAAGAGAACGACGAAAATGAAGAGATTAAGAGCGCCCACAATGTCAACTCGCATAACATAAACAAACCCAACATTCTCTTCAAAATTCTCCCAATAAAGATTTATGGAAACAACAACAAAAGCACCGAAACATATGCATTCTTAGACGATGGTTCATCGGTAAGTTTAATTGAAGAAGACATTTTAGAACAACTAGACCTAAAGGGAGAGTCAGATCAGCTGTGTATGACGTGGACTGCCAATCTAAAAAGAACAGAGAATAACTCACAACGATTAAGCATTAAAGTAAGTGGTGATAATAATAAACAACTGACATTGGACGTGCGCTCGGTGAAAGAACTAATGTTGCCAAAACAATCTATTAATTATGAATTGCTTTGC